CACTCTTCTAAATAGTCCTTCCGGTCGATCGGGTTTTATCAATTTCACTTCCACATCGCATCGGCGTTGTTTAGAGCCAGTACGTCGAACTGACCCGCGATATGATCGTCCACTCCCGGTTCGTCTGGATTTCGTTCCTTGCGAAGATGCCCGTGACCGTAATGACGTCCACTGAGCGCGAAGCTGGAGAGATTTTGGGCGAAACGCGTGAAATTTTAAGAAAGCACCTCAGTTACCTGTCTTCGCAAAGCAGGTGTTCGAGCCACGACTATTAGTGGGTTTAACACTGGATCAACGAAAGCGGCTATGCGAGCAAAGTGGTACCTAAAGACAATAACAGATGTCAAAAGTTTTTGATATTTAACCGTGAAAAGCTGTACTTATAACTCTGAAACTAACCATTTTGTGAGCATTGCCACCTCCTCTCTGTCATCTACCCAAAATACTGCAATTTCTATGTAAGTCTGTCCAAGCACTGAGACGAAAAATGTCGCTATGGAGAAAATCAAGGTGTGAAATAATTTTTCACGACGCCTATGTGGAGACTGATCTCTAAAAATAAATTAGATCAGATAACGAATTAAAGCTTGTTTATCACACTATTAAGTTTCGAAGCATCGTCAAAGAGGCGAAGGCAAGAGCTACGCAGCTTACCCAACTATCCTTTTTAATAACAAGTAACGTGAATTTTGCAGTTTACAGATGGGAGCATGTTACTTTGGAAAAACGTGGTCCTAGGACCTACAGTAGAGGATTATATATAATTTTTCTTGTCAACTATTGCCGTATTATATGGTCCTTACAAACAAATGACGCATTTATTCGCTCTCCTTGATTTGCGTCTTTTTTTATGAGTCAAACACCTTTCGCCACAATATAGTCGAGGAGCAGATTACATATGTATGACGTTTGTGAAGGGGAATCACTGTGATCGTATTTTTTGCTTGAAAATTTTTTTCGAGAACATTTCTAGCACTGCAGTTCGGTTGTGTACAGCAAAATCAGTGAGTCTTTTGTATATATAGCGTGCAGTAAAATGAAGAAATACAGATTTTGGGTAAAAACCATAAAAAGTTCCCGACGTATCTTAAGCCTTTGCGGAAATAAGTTAGGGAAACCGTAAAAGTAATGATTTTGAATAAATTTAAATTGGACCTTGCCATTCTTACCGTAATCCACTATGAATGAAGTCATGTTGTCTACGGATGCGGCAGTGATAGGTGATGGTGATTGTAAAAATCAAAATAGAAGCTGAGAGGAATAGCAAAGTGAATAGGGTGTGCCCACGTAGAAGATATGCGCCAAATGCATGAAATACTGCTGTTCGATCACACTGACTTGCAATTTCAGCATAATTCGATTGCGGAGTTCTGAAAACCAAAGAACAACGTGAAAGAAAGAAACAAAGGGGGATTTGCACTAACACTTCACATTGGAGATATGTCTTTCCTCTTGACAGTGTGGAGAAAAGTTCATCGAGATTCTGTATAGCATTTATCTAAAACAAAGACTCAAAGTAAGATTCAAAATTCAGTGTTTGAAGCATTCAGAAGACTAATCTGATTGATATCAGAAAAACAATTTGCAGACATATTCGAATATTCGAACATTCACCCGCAGCAAAATTTTTTTCTATTCTCCCACTTCTAGTTCTTGTACAAAAGCAAACTCTGGACGCATAATAGATTCGATAAGTCAGGGGTTTTTTTGTGGAAAAAATCGAGTTCTCCTCTGATTACGGTAAGCAAGATCTCCTTATACTATGTGCCATCCTTACCTGAACTGTAGAAAACAGCACATGTGAAATTATCAAAAAAGCCCAAACACAGGCAAATACAGAGATCACAGAAACCCGTGAAAGATGGATTGATTTCCCAGCCATTGATCTGCTAATTACAACCTGAAAAACATGATACTTTCGTTGAAATAATATTCAAAGAGTTTTTTTCCTTACCAAAACGAGAACTAAGAGATGAATGAGCCCGGTAAGGCTACCATTTTGTGCTAAAGAGTATAAGGTTTCCTGGATGAGATGCTTCCTTAAAAGAGGGTAGTAACTGGAAAGACTGTATATGAAAGTGCAAGTATAAGTGCATTGAAAAAAGGATTGAATTCTAACCGAAATTCATCCGAAGCGAAGAGATGCGTTTGAAGAGTTTCAGCGACTACTAGCTCTGGTGATTTCTCCATATACTGTAACTGGTACAGAAAGTTGAGGTCCAGAGGAGAGCGAAGCTAAGAATTCTAGTAATTCTAAGGTTCAATACTCACATCTTCATTGACATTTCCATACGGTTCATCGTTGAAGAGATCACGCATAAAGAACAAGATAGAACAGAAAAATAGCAAATTTGAGAACATTATGTTGAAGACGAAGAGAACCGTTGCGGTTGAAAGACTTCTTTTAGTCTGAAATTTTGGGGAT